ATACTTAGTAACCAGACAGATTACAGGCAGAACATGGCAATCACACTCTCAATAGGTGCTTACTCCCGGGTACACAGATACACACTCCCGGGGACAGATATGATGTTATACAGTATACAACAGGTATACTCCACTTCCGAAAACAGATCCGTTGTAATACGGTATACAACAGGAACTCCACTCCCGGGTATATATTAGACGGTATACAGTACACAACAGATGCTCCAATCCCGGGGAAAGATATGATGACATACAGTGCGCAACAGGGATTGATTAGATGGTACGTATACACAGTGCACAACAGNCACAGATACTCACTCCCGGGTACACAGATACACACTCCCGGGTACAGCTAAATATACTCCTCTTCTGACGACAGATACTCTACACATGCGAACAGGAATTAAGCAACGGGAACTCAGGTAATCAACTAATCCACAGGTCCGATCTAATAATACAGTACACAACAGGTAAGCCACTCCCAGGGACAGATATGATGTTATACAGTATACAACAGGTACTCCATTCCCGGGGACAGATATGTTGTTATACAGTACACAACAGGTACTCCACTCCCGGGGACAGATCTGATGTTATACAGTATACAACATGTACAATTACTACATTCCCGGGGACAGATATGATGGTATACAGTATAAAACAGGTACTCCACTCCCGGGGACAGATCTGATGTTATACATTATACAACAGGAACTCCACTCCCGGGGACAGATATGATGTGAAACAGTATACAACAGGTACTCCTCTCCCGGGGACAGATATGATGTTATACAGTATAAAACAGGTACTCCACACCCGGGGACAGATCAAACGTTATAAAGTATACAGCAGGTAATCCTCTCCCGGGGACAGATCTGATGTTATACAGTATACAACATGTACAATTACTACATTCCCGGGGACAGATATGATGGTATACAGTATACAACAGGTACTCCACTCCCGGGGACAGATATGATGTGAAACAGTATACAACAGGTACTCCACTCCCGGGGACAGATATGATGGTATACAGTATAAAACAGGTACTCCACTCCCGGGGACAGATATGATGTGAAACAGTATACAACAGGTACTCCTCTCCCGGGGACAGATATGATGTTATACAGTATACAACAGGTATTCCACTCCCGGGGACAGATATGTTGTTATACAGTACACAACAGGTACTCCACTCCCGGGGACAGATATGATGTGAAACAGTATAAAACAGGTTCTCCACTCCCGGGGACAGATATGATGTTATACAGTATACAACAGGTACACCACTCCCGGGGACAGATATGATGGTATACAGTATACAACAGTTACTCCACTCTCGGGGACAGATATTATGTTATACAGTATACACTAGGTACTCCACTCCCGGGGACAGATATGAAGTTATACAGTATATAACAGGTACTCCACTCCCGTGGAGAGATATAATAGATCTGGTGTTATACAGTATACAACAGGTACTCCACTACCGGAGACAGATATGATGTGATACAGTATACAACAGGTACTCCACTCCCGGGAACAGATATGTTGTTATACAGTACACAACAGGTACTCCACTCCCGGGGCCAGATATGTTGTTATACAGTACACAACAGGTACTCCACTACCGGGGACAGATATGATGTGAAACAGTATAAAACAGGTACTCCACTCCCGGGGACAGAAATGATGTTATACAGTATACAACAGGTACTACACTCCCGGGGACAGATATGATGTTATACAGAATACAACAGGTACTCAACTCCCGGTGACAGATCTGTTGTTATACAGTATACAACAGTTACTCCACTCCCGGGGACAGATCTGATGTGATACAGTATACAACAGGTACTCCACTCCCGGTGACAGATATAATGTTATACAGTATACAACAGGTACTCCACTACCGGGGACAGATATGATGTGAAACAGTATAAAACAGGTACTCCACTCCCGGGGACAGAAATGATGTTATACAGTATACAACAGGTACTCCCCTCCCGGGGACAGATATGATGTGATACAGTATATAACAGGTACTCCACTCCCGTGGAGAGATATAATAGATCTGGTGTTATACAGTATACAACAGGTACTCCACTACCGGGGACAGATATGATGTGAAACAGTATAAAACAGGTTCTCCACTCCCGGGGACAGATCTGCTGTTATACAGTATACAACAGGTACTCCACTACCGGGGACAGATATGTTGTTATACAGTACACAACAGGTACTCCACTCCCGGGGCCAGATATGTTGTTATACAGTACACAACAGTTACTCCACATCCGGGAACAGATCTGATGTTATAAAGTATACAACAGGTACTCCACTCCCGGGGCCAGATATGTTGTTATACAGTACACAACAGGTACTCCACTACCGGGGACAGATATGATGTGAAACAGTATAAAACAGGTTCTCCCCTCCCGGGGACAGATATGATGTTATACATTATACAACAGGTACTCCACTCCCGAGGACAGATATGATGTGAAACAGTATACAACAGGTACTCCACTCCCGGTGACAGATATAATGTTATACAGTATACAACAGGTGCTCCACTCCCGGGGACAGATATGATGGTATACAGTATACAACAGTTACTCCACTCTCGGGGACAGATATTATGTTATACAGTATACACTAGGTACTCCACTCCCGGGGACAGATATGAAGTTATACAGTATATAACAGGTACTCCACTCCCGGGGACAGATAAGATGTTATACATTATACAACAGGTACTCCCCTCCCGGGGACAGATATGATGTGAAACAGTATAAAACAGGTTCTCCCCTCCCGGGGACAGATATGATGTTATACATTATACAACAGGTAATCCACTCCCGGGGACAGATCTGATGTTATCCAGTATACAACAGGTACTCCACTCCCGGGTACAGATATGATGTTATACAGTATACAACAGTTACTCCTCTCCCGGGGACAGATATGATGTTATACAGCATACAACAGGTACTCCACTCCCGGGGACAAATATGATGTGAAACAGTATACAACAGGTACTCCACTCCCGGGCACAGATATGATGTGAAACAGTATACAACAGGTACTCCACTCCCGGGCACAGATATGATGTGAAACAGTATACAACAGGTTCTCCACTCCCGGGGACAGATCTGATGTTAGACAGTATACAACAGTTACTCCATTCCCGGGGACAGGTTGTTATACAGTATACAACAGGTACTCCACTACCGGGGACAGATATGATGTGAAACAGTATAAAACAGGTTCTCCCCTCCCGGGGACAGATATGATGTTATACAGCATACAACAGGTACTCCACTCCCGGGGACAAATATGATGTGAAACAGTATACAACAGGTACTCCTCTCCCGGGGACAGATATGATGTTATACAGCATACAACAGGTACTCCACTCCCGGGGACAGATACGATGTTTTACATTATACAACAGGTACTCCACTCCCGAGGACAGATATGATGTGAAACAGTATACAACAGGTACTCCACTCCCGGTGACAGATATAATGTTATACAGTATACAACAGGTACTCCATTCCCGGGGACAGATATGATGTTATACAGTATAAAACAGGTACTCCACTCCCGGGGACAGAAATGATGTTATACAGTATACAACAGGTACTCCCCTCCCGGGGACAGATATGATGTGATACAGTAAACAACAGGTACTCCACTCCCGGGGACAGATCTGTTGTTATACAGTATACAACAGTTACTCCACTCCCGGGGACAGATATGATGTTATACAGTATATAACAGGTACTCCACTCCCGTGGAGAGATATAATGACATACAGCTCGCAACATATACCCCAGTTCTGGAACAGATGTGTTGACATACATTACGCAACAGGTACTGCGACCCCAGGGATAGATTAGATGGTATACAGAATACAACTGATACCACGCTCTCGGTGACAGATCTGATTGTGTACATATGAGGCACTCCAATTTGAGCATTTCTAAGTTCACAGAAGGTTTTCACACCAAGATAACATTTCAATAATAGCGGATATTCAATAAGAGTTTGTAACAGTAGGCGAACAGTGAATTAAAGGAACACGTAATCGGCGAGAACGCCAAGTAATAAGTACAGCGCGCACAGGTCTACAGCGGTAATTTACAAATTACATAATCTTATTTGTGGCTGAAAACGTACAGCAGACTAATTTGGCCCAACAGTAAATGAAATAGGTGATACAGGTTTTGTCACAACAGAGGATACATCCACACATTCATATCTACTGATACTTTGGTTACCAGGCTAATGTCCTTAACTCACAGCGGCGAGTATTATAACGAACCAACAGGGAGTCGAGGGAACCACTACCATCACTTCAAGGTTCAAGTTGCAATATCGAGAGCATTCCGGAACAGAGTTTTCGAAGCAATTTTATATATGTTGAGGTAATTTGACTGTCCATGATGTGAACACAATGCTGTCCCTATAACATATCGTGTTCTCCTCTAACCAGTTTTAACCTCTGCAACAGGTTGTACAAATGTGACAGTCTAGGGAATCGGTGTATCAAACGACTTGATCAAAGTCACTTAGGTTAGAATGTACCCGACTCTGCGGATGCTGACACCGCGGTCGGTGACCCCTGACGGTGATTGACAAGTGTTTTGATCTATGACTCCTGTGTGTAATTCCGTGCCATTAGTAGAGATCAAGTGTTCATCTTACCTAAACATTATCGGATTGTTTCCACACACATATACACGTTATGTTTGTCCTGGTCGTAAACTCGTCAGGTGATGTACTGACAAATCAATAAAATCGATCTGCATCTTTTTTTACATTACGTCAACCCATTCGAATTATGACAGGGATAATAATCTTTACTGACCACAAAACTACGCCATATGTTTCGCATGGAAACCATTACAAAGATTTAAAGTTATAATTTAAAATATCTTAAAGGACAGCACAATAATGTAAAAGTCAAGCCCGACGGGCGAACCTGTACTCACGGTTAGGGTGTGCCAGGGATCCGCCAATCGTCCGTCCGTGCGCTCGGCAGAGCAGCCAAGTGAGTGTGCCGAGACGTCAACTCTCGGTTCCGCGAGATCGATACTCAGTAGCACGGAGGCTGAGTGTATCAAATAGGGCGAATGCGGGATACCCAACCCCTGTATACAAGATAAGGCACACTTCCAAATGTCGGCAATGAGTTTTGAATGTGTAATTATTTTTACAATGAAGAGGGAGATATTTTTGAGGTTGTGTCAAAAATAATGTCCCGAGTTTCAACAAAATCTAACTGTAGACTGAACAACTGTAATTTTAAAACAAAAAATCGAGTTTCGTGTTGGAAAACTGTTTCTGCTATCGATTTAGCGAGCACCTCCTGTTGGTAAAGGGAGGGTTCTGTGGAGTATTGCGGAATGTTTTACAGACTATATGTGACGGTAATAACGGTACGTCTCCGTGCACCGACACTCCCGTTCTATGCATAGTTTTAATCGATCTGAATGAAGCAAATGGTGATGTTTTCTGATCTGCCGCCGTAATTAGCCGATCAGGACCTGTTGCGTGATTTTGATATCGTCTGTTAGGTACACACCGCTCCTTAATGTTAATATTTCGCAATTTCGAAGTTTGACAAACGTGATTATTGTGTTGCTATTTCAATCTTGTTTTTTTTCTACTTATTTTGAAACAATGCTTTCATTAAGGTTAGAAAGAATGCATATAAAAGGGATTTAATTGACTTTTAATAGACTCTATTTTTCACCATCCTTCTTTGCTCAATCTGAGACAACAGTTATCCGCAATCAATACCCTGATCTCCGTTACTGAAGTCTCTCACACATGAGCCCACCACCAGATCTGATTCACGACCGCCTTCGCTTCCCCCCACAAACAATGATCGAAGCCGACGGCGCTGGAAAGGGGAAATTGAAAAAAAAATAGTACCTTGTATTTGGCATTGCAACTGATGGAAGAACGGCTGGTAACCATTAATTACATGTACACCGGATGTGACGTGCATTTTTATATAATGGGGAAAATATGGCTGGAGCCCATTAGCCCAACTCTATTACGCTTTAGTTTGGTTTCATTGCTTAATTGTATTATAAATCAAAACAAAGATGTTAAAAATGAGCCATAAGTTCACTGCTACACTATACAACATGATAACGACCTAAATCCTGAATGTTTTTGTTTGTGATTGAGTGTATGTAACGTGCGGGCTATCGCCAATCCCACTGCTGACCACGCTCGACGTTGCTGAACTAGTGAGCCGGTCCCCGGGTTAATTGCAAGTTAGGTAGTATTTCCCCGCATATTCCATAGCTGTTACAAATACAAACTTTGTTCTATAGTGTTCCTTTATTATGACAGAAAAGCATGGGGGTATAGTTGACTGAATACATCTCTATTGGTCAGGTCATTTTAAGCTTGTCCTTTTCACTAGAGACTCTAGAAAACTGAACTATATGTAAATGTACTGTCATTTCTTAAAACTCTTTCCTTAATCAAAAAAAAGATCTGAGGGACCATTTCCAAATAGTCAAACAGAATGCCAAGAAAAGACAATATCCATGCATGTTGCATTAAGTGCCCCACGCAATAAGGTTTGGTTTAGTACTATTTTGTCCAACGTCATGTAAACAGTTAGGGTCTTATACGCAATAAGGATATAAAAACACAAAACTTGGATTATCACGAGTATTCTTTCGAAACCGAAGCGTTTTTTATGCAAACCAAACCTGTTAAAAAACAAAACAAATTAGATGCCTTACCATATAAGTCGAACAAATCTAATAATTAGATCAGGTATACCTACTCAAAGTAATAACAGATGGTGTTTTTCTCTTCTTCATGATGGCGAGATCCAAGATAAAGAGTTTTCAAAATGTACTCACGCTCAGGAGTTCACTGAAATAGAAACGTCAGAAATTCAAAGTCTTTGAATCACTACGACAGGTCGCAACCAAGATAGGTTTGGACTTTTGAATATTCAGATGGACTGGGAGATGATAGCTATCTGCCTGGTCAAAAAACATCAGTTCTCCGAACTTATACAACTTCACGCCTCTTCTAATGGGAGTTCTCGAACTGCGTTAACCCTGTTTTTGGTCAAACTCAGGACAGGATTGTCTTTATCTGCTCATCTTTATTTCCCGGTATCAATAAAATATGATGTGCTGGAAAAAGCATGCAATCAACGCTTATATTCATGCAATCACCACTTGTTGTCAGATTTGTGAGTAAAACAGGATGGGGAAAAATAAGCATACCAAACCTAACGTTGTGACAGAGAAAACTCCAAACCTTGGGATGATATTTTCAAATGCCTTACCCTCTGCAAAACTTCGGGTAAGACAATCAAGAATATCATCCCTCGAGTTGGAGATTTCTCTTTCATACCCTCAAGGTAGGGGAAGATTCTAATATTCAATAAAATAATTCAGACTTGTACTGAAATCTATGCTGCTTTTGGCAACGGGTGGCTTTATTTTGTCTGTACTTGACCCTGATAGCCAAAAAATGATGCAAGAATAACTAAGTAAAATGTTTAACACAACGTTAAAGACATGGACGTTTGCTTGCATAAAGAACGATGCCCTCTTTGTTAACAGAGGTTTCCGTGATGTGCAGGACTTCCTCCATGAGACTGGCATTAACACTAACCATGCCTTACTTTCTCCCTAACGGAGTAGAACCAGCACACCACAGAAAAATCAAGCGAATCAAGACTGGTATTGACATTCGAAATCCGGAGCACGAGTGGTTGCTGTGCCCATATGACTTCAGTTTTGTGGTATCTTTCCTATGAGCGTTACCGAAAAAACAGGAGCAAAAGATGTCGAGTAAGTTCATATATGATGCCATCAAATCTGCTGATTGGTCTCAGACTAGCTGTATCCTATTCAGGGAGAATGCATTGTCAGATATGGAAACCCTGCGTGCACTGGAACTTAGAAGAAAAACAATAATGAAATGACTTGGTGCTCGACAATCTGACATTTTGTCTCCTTGCAATGTCCCTGATAATTAAGCTATGATACAATTTACTGTGATTCAATCCATATAATGACTAAGCAAATATTTTTCAATATTCTTTGAGTATCAATAATCAGAAAATTAAAAATATTCAAGTGATTGAAATGTAAAAATAGCAAAACATAACTTTATTGGACAACATACAATATGAACTGGCTTTTTGTTATTGACCCACTTTTTCATTGATATTTTTTCAATGAAATTATTAACCTAATAATTGCTCATAAAAATGTATTTATATTTATGCAAAAGGAAAGAGTTGTAGGCCTTAAATCTGGAACGTATCCATTCCCCCCTTCCATTTTGACCCTTATATCTCCCAAGGGATCAAACATATTTTCTTCAACAAGATAGCAATTTATTTAGGTGTGACCAAAAGGTTTTATCATGCAAAACTAAATTCTCTCTAAGGAGAGGCCGTGGAAATATAGCGACCATCCTTTAATGTTTTTACTTTTTCGAGTTGAGGTCATTTCGATAACGATTAAAGCATAATAGATTATAGCGATGGCGTGATAAGAGACATGTATTTTCAATCTAACACAAGATATTGTTCCGGACTGTTGTGAAAGTCAGCCATGCACAAGTACATAAAATAATAACTGTCAATATAAAATATGAACGGTGTTATTTTGATTTGTTTATATCTAAAAAGAGATATAATATTGTCTATCAAATGCAATCTTGCTATTTTGACTGAACACGGTTTGCAGTCGACATAGTTAATCATATATTAATACCATGTTACATTAAAGTCGGGCGTTTGATCAAATCATTTCGTTCTGCATGTGCTTGACACAAAGTCCTGTACATAAACCATGGTATGAAGCTAAAGTCCACAGCATAGAGCTCAATGCATCTTCTCAGATAAGCTTACCTAAGAATGCATATTATAATCAATAAAGTGTATGTATCGTTCCTGCAGCTGTCTATCTTATAAAACAACAGCAGACAACTAGCAAACGAGAGTTCAAACGCTTCACATTACAGTCGATCCGACAGTTTCTGGTCCAGACACATGGAGTTTATTGTTGCTCAAACGTCGGTGTATTGGTTTGGTCGTCTTCTGTGGTGGTATAATTGCCTACCTATCATGTTCATCTTGATGAATGATATTTACCTCCAACAACCCTGCAGGTTGGGGTTTGAGAACTGAATATACCTGGCCTACCAAACACATATGATCATTTGATGCGACAATCGTGGGAACCTCCTGTGGAATGTGGCATTACGTTTTGGCTCTCTACTTAAGGACACAGAAGCGACCAAAATAAATCTGCTGCACCTCTTGCAATACTTCTGATTTTGTTTATTTCTTTCTACTTCTAACGACTTTTTGTTTCCTAGCGCTTTCTTGGCAACGCCTCTAAATGTTTTTTTTTGAGCTTTTGCCCAGCTTAGGAAGGCAATGGGTTCTGTCCCCATGCTGGGACCCACAGGAGTCCTTTAAATAGTAGTTTTGTTTTCTGCCTAACGTTCAGCATTTTGGGTAAAGTCATTATCTGGTTCACCCGTTATCAGTATAATGTGACCGGGCGGAACGCTGTGTCGGGTGCCCTCGGTATGGTATTTCAGTGAGGTAGCACCATAACTCGGCATCAGACCGCTCTATCACAACGAGGCAAATACATCTACATACCACCTCTAACACACACACCTACATTGACGCATACACAACACACACGCAGGCAAGTCTTCAACTGTCCTTATCTGTTAATAAGACGTTAAACCATACAACCACCCAATCTTACCTCAAAGTCCATTGAAGTATTGAAGACTTACATTTGAACTATATATACTGTTATTCTCAACGTTGTTTAATTTTGGTAAGCTCGCTCATACACATATCATGATACCTTATTTAAGCTAAAGGTGTTTTATATGAGTTTATCTTTTGTTGTTTACGATTTTTATCTCTTATTCAATATGTTTTGATAACAGCAGTTGACATTAATAGTCTTTATAGAACAGAGCGTATTTCACAGATAGTTTTCATTTCCCGTTTGCATTCAT